TGGCCAGGAACCTGGTGTTCTAATTTCTTTGTATTCCATACTTTCCTGAGTGGGACTGCATCCTCCCCCATATGGAAAGGAAAGAGAAATTTGTTACTTTTGAAGCCATAGCTTTTCCAGTCTGAAAATCTGCCCTCTCCACAAGACAATGCTTCTGGTGGTTTCCGTAGCCGCTGGCCAGTCACCAGAGTACGGCCTCTGACAAGTCTCCTCAAGCTAACAGGACTGCAGATGCACTCGCTTTGCCTTTTGGAGTCTTCCTAAGCCAACGTGACCTTTATACCAATTACTACTCAAGCGGAAGTAGCATGACGTAGAGAATTCCTGTAAAGTTGAACACCGGTGATCTAACTCACTGCCTAGGGTGACGACAAGGTGAAGCCATCAGATAGTCCCTATTTTACTTAAAACTTTAGATGATCACATTTCCAGAAGTTAAAAAATGGGTGACGTTGTAATTAGAATTGCCATGAAACTTTATCTATGCTTACATGGAAATATGAATATGCTTAATATAAATATGTTCATAAAGTGTTACATGTTCAAAGATAATATTCCTTGCCAAATTCAGGAATTACCTTTTGGAATGTTTTTAGTTTTGTGTTGTTTTATTTTAAATCTTTTAGGTTTAGCAATAGCTGGCCTACAAACAAAAAATAAGGTTCACTTTAGTAGTTCATACAGTACTGCTTTCAAAGATTTCAATTCATAATTCTTTTTATGTTAGGTGTATGTATGTATGTATGTGTGGTATATGCACACATGTGGAAGCCAGCGGAGGATACTGGCTTATTTCTTTGAGACAGTCTGTCATGACACATGGAGCTAGGTTGGTGGTTAGTGAACTGCAGTGACTCTTCTCTGCGCTGGGGTATAGGCGCCAGCGTGGCCATGGCAAAGGTTTTAGGTGAATCCTGTGAGCCGAACTCACATTATGTTTGCTCAGCAAACCTTCTATCCACTAAGCCATCTCTCTGGCTCATTTCTTTTTTTTTCCCCCAGTAATTTTGATTGCCTACTGTGCTGGGCTATATGAATTTTAGTGGTACCTCATCAGGCTCCTAGATATAGTTGAATTGTCTATTAAAGTTGGTGACACAGGCAAGCATCAACTACATGGTAGACTTAAATATGTTACTATTTTAACACCTGTGATTGTTTTCTTGCATGAGTACCACATGCATGTAGTACCCATGTAGCCCAGAAGAGGGCACCAGAACATGGATCCTTTGGAAGAGCAGCCACTGGTAGATTTTTCTTCTTTTGAAAGCTTGGAGGTAGGGCTACATTGAGCTGACAGTGTTCAAAAGAACCATCAAAGTGCTGTTAATTTTCCATTTTCCCCTTGAAATAGAATGCAAAATAGTAAATTGCTGCCATTCTGTTTACAGCTGTTATATGCTTGCTGAGAAGGCTGTGGTAACTGTTCCCAGGCCACGGTAGAGGCTAATTCTAGGTAACAGCAAAAGCAGACATTCCCCAACAGATGCTCCAGACTTCGTCAGTCAAGGTACAGTGCACAGCAGGGCCAGCAAGGTGAGCAGAAGCAGGCAGAGCAAGCGAAAGGCCGGCCTGTAGATTCTTCACCTTCCCTGCTAAGATGCCAGCTCTTTCTGTGTTGGTGTGAGGGGTGGAAACAGACCTGATAGAGCTGGGCCCAGATAAGGCAGGAAGATGAGTTCTCAAACCTGACTATGCTCTCAGTTAAGTCCTGGAATCCAGTAGTATTCCTGGAATGGGAAAGGAGAATTCCAAAAATTTCAAAGGAAGAGAAGGACTTCGTGATAGGAAGCTGAGGAAGTAGAAGTGGCCATGTTCCAATTCAAGGATTCTATAAGGAATTCTGAATAAAACAGTCACTCAGAAGCAATTTGGTTGGGAAAAGTTTATCTCTGTTCTGACTTTGTATGATGGGAGTTCAGACGTGAGCATGACACACATGCCACTGTTACAGAACTCTGATGAAACAAGTGAAGCCAGAGTACTAGGAGGTGTGGAGTCAGACACTTCCACTCTAAGAATCCAAGAGGACACAGCTTTGGCTGTCCGTACAGGACAGGAAGGACTGACAGCCAAGAGGCTGGCCTGATAAGATTCCCTTTGACAAGATGGCATAAGATTTTTCTGAAAGGAAAAAAAAAATCTTAAAAATTGTTTATCTAGAAACTGTGTCTTAATTTGTAGCCCTAGGACTCTGAAGAAACTATTTCACTTGGACTGGCTTCAGAGACCCACTTGGATGATGAGATCAAAAATGTATACCATCACACCTGGCAAAAGTTATTTTTAAAGCAAATTACTGACAAGGGGGAGAGCTTTAGAAGGGTCATGTAGGCTGGTGTTGAGATATGTGGTCAGCTTCCTGTCTGTTGAGAATACCCAAACAGTGAGGTAGGCACAACCCAGCACTAGGGGAAACTTCAACAAAGAACACTAAAGGAAGAACATGTAGGAAGAGGCTCTGGGCGATGTGAAGACACATTAGCATCTTGTCCCTCCCGTAGATTCTGCAAGTGTTTTTCCTGGGCTATCCAACTCAGAGACACAACTCAGGAAGACTTGTAAACAGAAGTTTAATTGAAAACAAGATTTCAATGCAGCTGTTTATGATCATTTTGAAGCACACTGCAGTTAAACAAAATGCATATGTGAATGTGCGCAAGTAGAAAGATCGTGGATGTGTTGTAGTGTACTTGGGCAAGTGATAATCGACCACTGTAGCATTTTCAAGACATCCTAGTCTCTTAAATGTGACATTCCTACCTAGCCTGTATGTAAACATTTTTAGAAACATTTTGATGTGTCATCTTCACAAAAGGGATCAACCCCAAATCCAGAATTGGCTCTATGTTTACAACCATTAATGAAAGGGAAGTGAATTGTGCATGTGTCCATGAGTAAGGGATCAGGAAACTTTTCCTTCACATTATATCTAAATTAGGTGAGAACATATAAAAAAATTTAAAGGGAAACGACAAAAAAGGTAAGTGTATTCTAGAGACATTTAAATCACTCAATTACAATTTAAATCACTCAATTACAAGCACCTTCAAGAATACCTCTGAGAGTTTTGGATGACAAAATATTCGGAGAGAGTAGATAGTCTTTAAAGCAAAATGGCAATTCACCCAAACACAGGAGGCAACACCATCCCCTATGGGGCTGTGTACACAGTCCAGAAGGTCACATCACAGTCTCAGTTTTGCCAAATCCCCAACAACATGGAAGGGGGGAACCAAAGCCTGAGCAGCTCACTGCCTGGGGAAAGGGACAGAATGAATGGAAACCAGACTATACAAAATCCCAGAAGTGCTGAAATGTGTCCTGCTGTGAGGTCGGCTTCTGTCTGTGTGTGCTACCATCTACCAAGAGTTACTGGTAACTAAACATTTCATGAGCATGTAAGCAGAAACCCACTGAGTTGGGGGGGGGGGGCAATAAAAGCACAAATATTTTCTTTTATGCTTTCTAACATCATGATCAAAATTACAAATTCATGTTCAAAGCAGTGGTGAAAGCTCAGGCTTCTGTTTATGAATAGCTATCTTTTGTTGAAAAGGTTTAAGTAATATGCAGTGTTGTAAATCAGAGACTACTCAGTCCTTCTGAAAACTGATCTGTGCTTCTTGGCAGACAATTCCCCAATGATGTTCTTGAGGGCAGGCACTCTCTTCTTCATGCTGGCACAGAGGACACTATCCTTAGTGTCAGTCACCGAGCAGTTTAGTTTCTAACTAAACTCTCTCCTATTGGTTTTTAAATGGACTTAAGGAGTTCTAGTGCCTCTCCCCACAGCATGAGTTTGGATCTGTGGCCAAGTTACGAAGCAAACATCTTAGAGCACAGGAAGAAAAAGGCTGGAGGCAGTTTGTAAATACTCCCATGGCAACGGCACCACGAGTGTTCACTCATTTTCCAGGAGTCTACCCAGAACAGCTATAGCTTCTTGGATCTTGGAAGTGTTGCTGACTGGCTTATAAAACCGCAGTCATCAGAAAAGACTGAATTGCTGCTGTATCACAGACTCTCCCCAGATAAGGATTCCTTCCTCATGCTATGAGAATCATGAGCTAGATTTCAAGTTAATAAAATCATGCAAAATTCTCTTCATAAAAACATGAGAAAAATGAGAAAAGCTACTAAGTGCTGGGATACATAAATACTTAGTACAGGATATCAACCTTGTTTTCTGTGTTATCTACAGTTAGGAAATGGCTAAATATAAACCAAAGAGGAGCACATCAAAAAAGCCCCACCCATTAGCCCTTTAAATAGAGTTACACCTCTGCTACATTTCTGCAAACAATCCTTGATGCACAATTTTTCACTGTCTCGAGTCTATGCTGGAGACTGTTAAGGTGACCTCTGGAAATCATATCTTGAGAGTCTTTCATGGAACTTTTAATGAATGTTTTTCAGAGCATTAACCTACCTCCAAGATTCTTATGAATTGGAAAATAATGTATCAAAACTGGTGACTTTTTGTAGGAAAAAAAAATACTTATATTGGCCAAGGTAATGCATTTACGAAGACTCCAAAGCAGTGTCCTAATATCTGTAGCTGTGATTAGGATTTCAAACTTTACCCGACTGAAGCAAAAGACGTGTTCCACATATTTACTTTGTACAGCTCTGGGAATTTTAAAAGTGAAAACACTCTCCAGTGACTGAAAAAGAGTGTGCAGGTAGGGCTGAAATGGTATGACCTGTGAACCAGCCTGGTGTCTAAAAGGAACCAGTTTACAGCATCTGGGCAAAATTAGAAAAGGAAGGAACCCAGCATTAAGCTGGACTGAGCACGGGGCAATTAATAAAAATTTACTCAAAAAAGTATCTATTGTACTTTTTTTTTCCTTTTTTCAAGTCAAGAGCTGGTTTTGGAAAAATAAAAAAAATATTGTAATCTATTCCACAAGTATTATGGAAATAATCTAAACTTCTTAATTATATATGAAAACTGAGACAACATTCCATTTATAAAGTGCCTTAATGAACCAAAATTAGAGGTCAGAGTTCTTTATTTACAAGCCATATTTAGTCACATTTACAGAATGGCAACGTCACACGGGAGCAGCACAGTACAGTGTAAAGAACTCTCGACTGGGTGATCACATTTGAGCCTTGGCTTTGCCACCATTTAGCCCTGTAATCTTAAGGAAATGACAGCTTTTCTGGACCTCAGGTTTCTCATCTGCAAATGAGAGGTAGAAGCAGACTGTACCCAGCACAGTCTTTGCTTAGGTGTGAAATTCTACAGCAAGTAATGCCTTACTCTTAAATCCCAGCATTCTATACCAGCTTGGTTCCCATATTCCCATCTGTAAAAACACAAGAGTTCTGATGAGCTACATTGCGGGTTAATGATTTGGCTGCTTTGTAGAGGCACACAGAAGTCAGAGTATTTTGGTTACTGGTACATATGTGTAGGCTTTGAAGACTCTAGATGAAGGGAATCACAATGTCACCTGCTGCCATGCTCTTATGCCTCCTCCAGAGAAGAGGGTGGGTGACAGTAAAGGAACAATAACCCACATATGACTAGAGACTGTCTTTCAGAAAGACATACAGGGAGTTTTCAAAATGAGAAAGTTGGATTCAGGTTCTTGATCAAGTAAGACAATCAGACTTTAAAAATACACCTAGTTGGGGATGTTTATCTGGCAAAGTAAACTTTCCCTAAAAAATGTAAGCTTGTTATTCAGAAAACAAACAAAAAACTTTGGTTATTCATAGTTTGGCAAATTTACACACAGACTGGCTTTTTTTTTTTTTTGTAAGAATATTAGCTAATGTTAGGAGCATTTGAAATTTATTTTATTACTATAACCAGGTAGTATTTCTTAGTGAAGCCACCTGTTAGTAATACATCTGTATCAAGAACACTAAAAGACAAGCATTTTTCTATGAAGAGTTGTTTCTGTTCACATACAGGTATACCAGCGTTTAATTAAAAATGTCAATGTCAGCCTGATAAATGTTATGCACGCTTAGAACAAAGTGCAAAATTACTTTCATATCAAACATATTCTGTGCTTTGACAAAGGAAACAGCAACATTCATGGATTTGTGCACTGAGGGTCTAGCTAAACAGAATGACACATTTTGATAAAAACTTGGAACTAAGGGCCCAGGGGAAAGCAGATTTGGTAAATCTCAGACAGCATTGTTGACTCCATATGTGCAATGTCAACAGTCACCAGGATTAGCTTGTAAATCTAGACCTGTCATTTTCAGCAGTATACCCCAACCTACAGGTTATCCTGGGGGATCTCAACTACTCAGAATGGAAATGAAAAAGAGGTACAGTAAGAGGACATTTCCATTTGTACATTCCCTCCTGAGAGACTAACACAAACTACTATTTCAGCCAAACACAATCTACTGCAGGGATTCTTCACTTTAGAAGTGCCTGGCAGACAGCAAATAGGCTTTGAAATTACAACGTGATTTACCAAATGGGTACCATGAACATTGTGTGGCATTCTGCTGCAGAAAAATACTGCATCTTCTAATGCACAACAGTTTGTAAATTGTAGGTCAGAAATAGGAGAAAAGGTACTCGAGAACTCAGGGAAAAACAACAGTAAATTCTGCCACCTTACTGATAAAGTGCCTATCATTGATCTATACTCTTTATATTTTTGCCTTGAAAGGTTTTTAAATTTTTGCTAGCAACATCAATTTATTTAAACTAAAGAAAATATTTGTTGGGATAAATGAACTACAATGGGAAAATGTTCACTCAAATAGCATATCTTCAGAAAACATCAAGAATACTTACTGAGTGTTAAGCACCTGTCATCTCAAATTGCAATTTATGTATAATTTAAGACAGGGTCTCTCTATGTAGCCTTGGCTGTTCTGGAACTCACTACATACACCAGGCTGGCCTTGAACTCACAGAGATCTCTTGCCTCTGCCCCTCGAGTGCTGGGATTAAAAGTATGCATCATCATGCCCATCACAGTTTTACTTTTCACATACTCAAGACTAGAAAATCAACTATTTGTAAGACTTTACCCATGTTAAAAGATTCACATCATCACACTCGTTCTGTATTGACAGTAGTTCATACCCAGTCAAAACGCTGCCTTGCAATTCCTCAAAGTCATTTGTATTTGTGCAAGCAAAAACCAGAAAAACAAACTGTACTACTTGGCGCCTAAAGAGAGTATGAAGATGTAAAATGACACTGTCACAATTATTTCTTCCATCCCTATGATGCTTTTTCTCATCATTAATAGAATCCATAAAAATGGCAAGGAAAGCTACTGGAAAATTTATCACAGACAGGTGAATGCTTTTGTAGAAATCTGTAATGTAGCAGATATTTTAGCTCTAAGTAAGTTTTTCTAATGTATTTGCACTTTTGAAAACAGCCTACAAAGTAACTTAATGTGTCACTGGATTTTCTCATAAAGCAAAATAATGTCATTTTTCACAAGACAAGAAATTTAATATATTTAAATCTATGCTGGAAATACACAAAGACAATTATATAGGTTACTAGCAAGTCTTATTTTATACAAATTACAGAATATCCATTAAAAAAAAAAACACATACATATGACCTTTGATGGTACATTTCTATGCTGGCAAATATATTTCTGATACAAAGGCACTTTGAAAACCCAATATGGTTTGGTTGGTAAGTTTGCAAGTTACAAACAATTTACAAACGTATGATTACATGGAAGAATGTCAACAACTGTGACATTACATAGAGAACAGACCTCTTTTGTAAAAACAACACTGGTCTTGTGGGAGTAAAAGCAGTGGTGTCCAGCAGCTTTAGTGAAGACATTCAGAGGATTGGAGGCCCACGGTCTGAATTTCTCACTGGCTGGGTGGGATGACAAGGATGGGCTGAAGGTGATCAGCAAGAACCACCCCCTCCAGGGGGTAGGAAAAGATAACCCAACACCCTAGAACAAACCTGGAAACCTTAGCGATCAGAATGGCTTGGAGGGAAAAGCACCCGAGGCGACAGTCTGGGCTGTGATCTCCAGCACGCGGCCGACTGTACCTGCGCTGCCTGGGGCTTCCAAGCTGTAGTGGTGGCGTCTCTGCTGAGGGCACTGGGTAACACAGTGCTTTGGATTGTGCAGTACTGGAAAACTTTGGTCCTCAGTTTCTCTTCACTGACTACATCGCTGCGAAGTCGATCTGTACATAAAGCTGCCTCACTCCAGCCTGAGAAGTTAGAAAAATGAGATCAAACCTATAAAACCTCCAACAAGTGAACATTCCAGAAAAGTGATCAGAAAGCAACAACTCATTTGTCTTTAAAAATTGAATTATTTTTGTCTTCTGCTTTAAGAAATAGTCTATTTTCATTGTAAAAAAAATCCATGCCTCCTCTCCTTTCACTCTTACCCAAATACCTGCCACTTTGTCAAGTCAATGTATGACCGCTACACTCCAGAAGCACCCACACTGTCACTGAAGATCGTAAAGCTTACTCAGTGTGTTTACTATTTCTGTTCTCCCATTATAACGTAATCTCACCAACAGAAAGAGTTGTCTCCTCTGGCATTCCAGACTCCCAGAAGCTTCAGTAACATCTGGGCATAGCAAGCCATCAATAAATACTACTGAATGCATGAACTAGCTTTAGTGGACTAAAAAACTGGACAGACCCTAGCTTCTTAGCACAGAAAATATGCTCTTTGCCTCCTCCCAAAAGCCTTTCCGTGGCAAGCTACAACTGTTGTTACTTAACTTACACAAAAATGAACTTGCTCCTACATTGGCTGAAAGACTTTTTGGAGAAGAACTTAGAGTTTGTATTATCTTTACCTAGAAATAAAAACCAAAGTTCAGTTTTCCTCACTGCAAAACAGTGTTGATAAAATCAGTACTACCAATTTGCAGGAGTTTTATGTACCATCCAATACTTAACAAGCAGCTAATAAACAGTGCCTACAGTAGGTATTGTTTAGATAAGTAGTGAATGTATGAGAAAAAAATTTCGCACACTAGAGGCAAGTATAAGCTTCGATTTACTCAGTCCAGATGGCCCTGGGATAACTGAGGAACTAACTATTCTGAAAAATTCTTGTATGTATAATCTTAATAGAAAATAAAAATATTGCTTAAACATATTGTTTGATATTTTTTCTTTTTAAACAAAATTACTAATGAATACAAAATGGGCAAAACAGTTGGGTTCCTTTCATTGCCTGCCATTTTCATTACCTAATCTTAACACGGGGAACACAGTAATAAGAAATGAGTAGCCCAAGGCAATGAAGAGGAAAGAAAAACAAAGGAGCTAGATAAATTATTTTTGCATAATCATGAGTTAATTACTCAAACTGGTATCAGTCCCCAGAGGGGATAACAGCTTTCCACAAAAGCTCAGTCCAAAAGCAAAGATAAAGAAGTCATTTGCTGCATCCACTTGTCCCAGTGGGATGGGCAGCTTGGCTCTCCAGTTCCTAGTGTCCATTTCAATTTCCTTCAACGTAAAGAGAAAAACCTTCTGACGAGTAACCTGCTGCCTGATACAATGCGATCTACAGTTAACCGCAGGAAAAATATGACCGCTCTCCCAGCAGTGTGCAGCTTCTAAGTTCACTGCCCCTGCCTCTACCCCAAAGCTAGCCTGGTGGTGCACGCTTGGGAGATCTCCAAACAATATTCGTTTTTGAACAGAGGTTAAAGTTAGAGAAACGATCAGGAATGTGACTATAGAAATTGTCGTTTTACTTGTATTCTCCATGGGCCAAAGCCATAGACACATTTTTGCTTGAGTTTTTTACTAAACATGTCTTTATCCCTTTAAAATGTAAAAAGGGGGCTACAGTGATGGCCAAAAGATTAAGAGCACTGGCTGCTCTTCCAGAGGACCCAGGTTTGATTCCCAGCACCCACATGGTAGCTCACAACTATCTGTAATTCCAGTCCCAGGGGATCTCATGCCCTCTTGTGGCTCTGCTAAAGGCACATGTGTAATGCATAGACATATGTGCAGGCAAAATACAGAGACATAAAAAAAATCTTTAAAAGGGTAAAATGAAGTCACTCAAAAGTATCTTACTTTTCCATGAAAGATGCTACAGAATTAATAAAATGTTAATAAATGACTAAATTATAAGTCAGGAGTAACAATGTAACTAACTGGTTATTGTGATACACCTGTTATCCCAGTGCTCCAGAAGCAGAGGCAGTAGCAGGAGGACTACAACCTTAAAACTACTCTAGCAACAGAGCAAATTCAAGGCCAGCCTGGGCTACTTAGTGAGACACTGAGAAGAGCCAAGAGCTGAGGATACAGCTCAGTGTTTACTTAGCATCCCAAGACAAAAATAAATAAATAAATAAGAAAGAAAACAGATCTGGTTTCTTGTTCAGTAAGTCACCCTGTGGAAGTTAATATATTAATTCCTGCCATAGTCCCTGCCACGTAGTGGGCTGTCAGTGCCAGCATTTCTAATGCTGCCATCATTATTGTGTCCACTACTACCAACCAGTCAATGGACACTCACACCATATGATTTAATGCAAACCAGCAAACCTAGGGATACTTACGATCCCATGGCTGTCTACTTGGCCTCCTGAATTTTAGATACACGTGATAAAGAAAGATAAGAGAAAAATGGCTAAGAAAGCTTGCAGAACAGGCAAACAAAATCAATGTGCATTAACATTAAAGCCCATTACAAAAAGGAAAAAAAAGAGGTAGAAAAGGTTGAAAACCAGAAACCAATTTAGAGAAGGGAAGACAAGTTTTTCTTTTGTGCATATCACTCAAGTGGAGAACATAAACCTGATGAGGCTACTGGTCAGAGAAAGGGAGGATTATGAACACAGGAGACTGGAGGAGGCGGAGGGTTTCTGTAATTTAAAGACTCTGACTTGTGTTTGGGAGGTGGCTTTTTGAGTCCTTCCTGGATATAACTGTTCACTTCTATTTTGAGGTCAGAGAACAGAGCATAAAAGGCAGAAGCAGGAAGCTGGGGGCTCAGGATGCTGGGGGCTTAGGAAGTTAGGGCTCAGGACTTAACAGGCATAATGGGGAATGATGGGAAATGAAGTAGGGGTTCTGCCAGGAGAGAATGTGTAGTTGGCTTGGCTGTCTTTTGTGCTTTGAGGAACCAAGGAAGAAAATGAACCTCAGGTATATTCTAGATCTTTCTTTGAACATATAAGACTCTTTTCTTCAAACATTATTTCTATCAAAACAAAGTATATTCAAAATTTAAGGCTGTGATTATAATTGTGAACATACCATTATTATAAAGTGATCTTGGCTGGTTTAAAACAAAAGCCATAGACCATTGCATTGCCTTCTAACCCAGAGCCTCACTTTCTGTCCTCTTCCTAAGTCAACACAAACACACACACACACACACACACACACACACACACACACACACCCCACACCCCTTTCTGTCCCCTAGCTATCAACTGATAGTTGCTTTTGAAAATTAGTTTAGATGGATAGCGAGGAAGAATTTGACACTCGATTGCACTGAACTACTGTTCCCGAGGAGTCTGAGCACGGACGTGACTTGCCACAGCTCCTTCCTCTACACCACACTTCTACACAGAAGCCCATTTCTTTGGTGACTCTTGAAAATGATAATAAATAGGATAATGTCCCATAGTTGTAAAATCACAGAGACCTAGCATTGGGCAACTAAATAGAAACTTACAATTCTCGGATTTCTGCTCCATTTGTTTTAATACAAGCTTTCACAGAAAACAAAAAGAAAAATTTCAATAACCGAACCCAATTTCTTACATTCCTACTCAGGGTCAGCTGTAAGAAAGACACTCACAGTTCAACAGACACACAGGGGAGACTCACAGGAGGTCCTCCTTTAGAACCAACACTAGAAGCTTCCATACAAGAAAGCATCAGTGAGTTTAAAAAATGGATTTAGGTACTTTTCCATCTATTTATCTTGTGTGTGGGGCTTGGGGAAGGCAGCAGTCAATTCTCTCTTCCCATCAGAGGTCAGTTCACCAGGCCTCACAACAAGCCTTTACCTGCTGAGAGAGCTCACTCGTCATGATTTTTCCCCTCAAAACAGCAGCAAACTGGGTTTCATTTTGGTGAGAGTTAGGAGTAAGATCTAACTTAAAATACAAAGTAACTTAAGAATTTATGTTTCATGAAATGAAATTTATCACAGCGAGCCCTGACATTTACTCACGCTACAAGGACATGCATTACTAGTGCAGATAAGGAAATAAATTATTTAAAATTCTATTCTGGTATATGAGAACTAAAATTGAAAAAAGATTTAAAAAAACTTTAAAATCATTAAGTGTAGGGATTAAAGCTGTTTTAGAGATGTGGCCCCACCCCTCCCGGGTTGGGTGGATTGAACACCCTCACAGCTAGAGCCTCAAAGGGAATACCTGGTAGCTACGAGGAATGAAATCAATTAGTCAGGACCTTCGCTGACAAAAAGAGGCTGAAAATATTCAAAGCCAAATGTAGTTTCTGAAACAGAAGAGGCAGCTGAAGGAACGTTCATATTCCCCCATTTCCAAAGGCCAGGTTTAAGCTTTGGGAGGCCTCCCTTTGCTACTGCAAATAGCAGGCCCAACAGACAGCTGCTACTAGCACAGTTCCCAAACTAGAAAACACTTTCCTCTTCACATGGAAAATGTGACTCAGTGACAAAGCTGGGAATGTGCAGGGTGCCCAGAGGCCCATAGAAATCCCACTGTGAGGTTGAAGCACTAGGGGAGAAGACATAGGATAAAGGAGAGGACTGTGGTCTGGAGAAGGCAGTATACAGGTTACTGCCACGTTGTTCTCCTTTTGCTCCAGGATAAGAAGTCTTTAAACACAGTGCACAGGCCTCAAAGGCTTCATTATGAAAGCCATGATGATACACATTTACATAGACAGACACATTTATATACTGTGTCTGCTCAGAAAGCTGTTAAAATTCTGAACAGGTGGTACCAGCACAAAGTAGAGCAGAGTCTGAATTGCATCTAAGATTAGGATTATATAAATCCTAATAACATTAGATCTGTCCGTAATTCATTCATAAGGAACCTAGACATGTATGTCTCTCATGAGGAGCTTGACTCTCTAATTCATACAAAGCCTTGACTCTAACTAGACTGCATATTATGCTTATGTCTGAAGATGTGAAGGAGAGAAAAAGATATGTATGCAGTGACACACATATCACAGAAAAGTAATTCTGCTTAGAGGAATGCTTAGACTCCAGCCAACAGTACTAACTAAAGTGGAAGGCCCTGGATCAATACCCAGCACTGAAAGTGGAAAAAAAAAAAAAAAAAACAACAAAAAACCGTCAAGGAAAATAAAGACCTTCTAAATTTTGACTCTGATTGGAAAACAATGTTTATTTTTCTTTTACTTTAGTAATTTCTATATTTTATGTGATTAAATAAAGGATTTTTATAGCTAAAAAGATACAGAAAAATATGTTTCTTAGAAGAGGTTTGTAACAAGTCATACCTGAGTGAAAATATTATGTGTTTGGCTTAAGATCCACCTGGCATCTGCATCAGGGGCTACTATGAGCTTCAAGGTCCCAATGTAAACATCAGAACAGAGCGTCCAGAAGTGCTGTTCTTGCAAGCTGTACACTCCTTGTAACTGCTGCACCTGGAACATGGGGCAGATGTCAGCACCAAGATCAAGACAGTGCCCTCCCTCCTAAATACGATTGTGCAGCAAGTCAGAAAGCTGGACTCGACCCCCTACTTAGAAAGAGATGTTCAGACAAATGCCTGTGGAGTAGTCATTATGTTCCAGGCAACACTGAAACACACTGGAAAGAGAACGAACAAACACTTATCAAAATCTGTCAAGATACCCAAGAGTACCTAGAGGGAAGTTCTAATTTCACCACATATATCAGAGAAGTTAAGTACCGGCAAGCTACAGAGCTAGAAAAAGAACGATAAAGTGGGGCACAGAAATGACTGGGAGGAAATAAAAGATAGAAATCAACACATACTTAGAATGAGATAAGCTAGAGGGACATTTCTTCTATTAAAGATACTACTTTAAATATTGATGCGGAATGGACATAGTTTTGTAAACAGAGGAAATGCAGTTAAGAAAGCGTAAGAGTGAAATGACTATTTTCTGCTCTTCTGATTTTGCAGCCCCCTGAGCTCCTTTTCTGGCTCTGATCTGAGGGTGAAATAGAGCCAAGAGACCAGAACATGTCTTCACCATATGCTGCCTCAATGCTTCAGACAGTCTCCTATCCTTATACCCCAACTTCCAAGACGCTAACCCAAGGCCTGGACATGCTGGATAGCACTCTACCCCTGAGCTACTTCCCTGGCCTGATTTTAAATCTTTTCAGTCCTAATTAGTGCCCACAATTGCAGATGTGCTACTTAGCTGGCATTCTCCCTAAATGTCTGTCGAGTATTTCAAATCTAATATAAAATAAACAGAATCTTACTTTGGAATAACTTTCTGCTCTCAAACCCTTCCCACCCTAGTCTCAGCCTCTTAGACCAAGCTGTGAGACACACTCCTTTCCCCTTTACTAATGCAATCCACCTCCAAAAATACACCGCAATGTAAATTTCCCTCCATCTTGCTGCCAATGACAGTAGTCTCAGGCAGCTTTTCCCAGAAGATGCTCTCCACATATGACAATCTTGTTAAAGCACAAGATTCATTACATTGCCGCTGCCCCAAAGCATTCCAGATGCTTCCCACTGAATGAGAGAAGTCTGAGCCTCTTTGTATGACCAAGACCTCCTAACATCTGGCCTTGCCTTCTTTCCAACATTTCAGTCACTTTGCCCTTTATTTATCATGCTGCAGCCGCAAAACCTGTTTTCCTATTCTCCAAATACACTAAATTAGTTCCAGCCATAGCTGCCTCACATTAGTGGTTTTCTTTTTGCCTGGAACATTCTTCTTGAGGATTTGTATAAGGCTGGACACTTCTGGTCATCAGGATTTCAGGTTCCTTGCTGAGTCTTGATGTAGCCATCCACATTTACCATGCTCTCATTGCATTTTTCATCATGTGTCCCACTGATGTTTTCTCACCATCAACATCATTTAACATTAACTTTATCCCCGCTAGACTGCAAGCTCCATGAAAGCACAGTCTTGCTCTGTTCACATCTGTCTCCAGTATTTTAGAAAAGACTCTGATACACAGTGGATGCCAAAAACAAACAAACAAACAAACAAAAAACAAAATACAATGTAACAAACAAACAAAAAACATCCAGAGGGCTAGAGAGATGGTTCAGGAACTAAGAGCGCTTGTTGCTCTTAATTTGAGGTTTCAAAAGCCCACATTAGACCCAGTGTCTGCGTGTGAATGCTTGTGCATGTGTCTGTCTGTCTGTCTCTGCCTCTCTTTCTGCCTGAGGTCAGGATGTAGAACTCAGGTACTGCTCAGGTACTGCTCAGGTACTGCGCATGCCTACCTGTGTACCACCACGCTCCCTGCTGTAATGACAACAGACCAACCCTCTGAAACTGCAAGCAAGTTCCCAAATTAGATGCTTTCATTTGTAAGAGTTGCTTTGGTCACAGCGTCTCTTTACAGCAGCAGAACACTGCTAAGACAGATGACTCTATACTTACTTCATCTGTTACCCATATTCTGTACTTTGTAATAGCTCAATCTCTAGGTAAGTACAGTATATACATTTTCGTTAGCAAAGCTCAATATTTTCTAATGAATTTACTTGGGTTTATACAAACAATATTCATAGTCATCATGCAGTCTTGGAAGAAAGATCAAATTATATTCATATGCTATACATATTTATGAACGATGAAAACTCTAACAGTTTGGAAACAACATACAATCCCATGTTTTGCAAAACTTACCCTCTGATAGCACTGGGGGAGTATATTTTCCAACGAGGGAGGAGTTCTTTGCATTAATATTCCAATAGACTCTCTTAAAAGAGGAATAACACTAAAGGGGAAAAAAGCTCATTAAGCCACATTTTAACAATTCCTATTTGCAAAATGGTAATATACAGTTCTTTAAAGAATAGAATACAATTATTTAGAGTTTCAGGAAAAAGTAATCTACTAGTCTTTGTTCTAAATTTCTCTTAGAATAAGTAAGCTATTAAAGAAACTGAAGAAAATGCATCCATTGTATCCAATGATTTATTTACGATTTCTAAGACTGATTATTTACCAGTCATACATCTAAGAAGTGTGTGTGTGTGTGTGTGTGTGTTCTGTGTTCTGTGTTGTGTGTATGTGTGTGAGTGTTTATGTATTCATGCACCTGTGCCTGTGGGTACCTAGGAAGTCTGGAAAAGGGCTTCAGGTACCCTGGGGCTGTCAGTTGTGAGTATCCAATGTTGGCGCTGGGAACTAAATTCTGGTCCTCTGTACCACTGAGCCCATCATCCCAGCCCTGTAAGTCATATTTTCATTATTTAAAATGGAGAGAAGCCCATTTTCTCCCATAGATGGTTGAGGGCACCTCTAGGAATGAAGCCCAAAGGTCACTCTGTGTTGACACAGGAAAGCTTCACCCAACATTCGAATTTCTGCTTTAGGTTATTTGGATGACTGTGTGTACACAGAGTAAAAAACAGAATAATGGTAAGAGTGATGCTAGTGCAATAACCCCCTGATCTAGCTAGATGCAAAATTCACCTTGGAGCTAATTTTGCTTTCAGTTTTGACATAGTGAATCAGAATATCTAAGGATGGTCCAGACATCTACAGGTCTGCAAGGCTCTGCAGGTGTTTCCAGTAAGTCAGAGGGTGGGTGGCACTCTGCTTGACTGTTGGCTATAGACCAAGGGGCAAAGTCAGAAATAGCTTCACTGCCCTTAAAAACGGTAACACTGATTACTGTTAACTTTATGCAATCTCCAAATGTCAAATATAGAATTCTTTTGGACATAGCTGCAGGAGGGTAGGGACCACAAGAACTCATGCCTGTGAACCCTCAGCATCTCAGAAGAGTGGAAGTGGGACCGTGCCTTAAGGATTCATGATATTTCTAAGAGAAGAGAAAAGGAAATACTAATGCAGACCAAAAGGAACAAGGGCAATGTCTTGCTCACCATCATATTCACAACAGTGCCTAAAGGACTAATGATATTTCTGACAGATGAGAAGGAAGAGGAACTACTAATGAAGACCAAAAGGAACAGAGGCATTGCTTGCTCACCATCATATTCCCAAGGAGGCCTAGTAAAGTGCTGGTCACCAAGTATGCCCGTGATAAGTGTTGTCTGAATGACTGAAAGATACACAGATACCAGGCATTTTAGAATCTAGATTAAAGAAAAGAGAAGGACACAGAAAAAGAATTAGAAGTCTATTCCCCAACTTTTAAGTATAGAGTGATTTTTGAATAAAGAAGAATAGCATGGGAACAAAGACTGGAGAGTTAAACAGGCAGAAATAACTGGTATCTTACAATATAGCAAAACACAGAATGACAGCCAAGTTGAGGACAAGCCTAGATTACTTAATGGAGACAAGGTAGCAGTAAGGATGACAATTTCAATGTGGGCAGGAGTTTCAGTCATATTTAAGTAAAGAAAAAAATTTGTTTAGTAAGGTAGCAATAAGAACCAAAAATTAAATATCACCTGTGAGCCCTTCTTAACCCGTATAGCCTTTGTGCTCTATGAATTAATATGCTGCCCCGATGCTACACCCAAGATAGTTGTTAATTAGTTCATCCTACTCCATTGGCACAGTGATTTCAGAGCTTTTATCTGGTCTATTAGTCTAGCCTTCTACGTGTTCCTTGGCATCTAATCTTACAGCCTTCTAGGCTACTTGGTAGGCAGCTTCAAAGATGGCTCCCGAACTAGTACTGAAATGTTGCTTCCTGATTAGCTTTAACACTTTGGCCTCTGACATAGCTGACACTTTCACTCTCACTTGCCACCTCACAGCTGCCATACTGTGAGCTCTTTAACCAAGAGGATCATGGGTCAACGGAAGAAGGGACCCCTCTGCCGAGGAGCTAGAATCTAGTTCACTAGCCCCAAAGAACAGAAGACTGTCAGCAACAGCTTGAGGGGGCCTAGAAGTGGCTTCTTCCTCAGCTGACCTCTGCAAGACTCCAGCCTGGGCTGACAACTTGATTGCTGCCTTGTGAGAACTCTCTGCCATGCCCACAGCGTCCTGAGCTACGAAGACTAGATGATAATAATGCATGCTAGCCACTATGGAAGAAACACAACAGATGGCCGTCATATGTAACAGTACAATGTGCTTTCCAGGACACATTTCAGAAGTAATGATTAGGTCAGAGAAGGTTGGAAGAAAAAAAAAAAAAAAAAACAACTCCACATAGAATTAAGGAGTTTGAGAGTTAAGAATTTGGCTATTAACTTAGCCACTTAAACTGTAGAGCAACAACTGTTTCTATCTATCATACATACTATTAAGAAGTAGGTGAAGACTCCTTGGGTAAAATAAAGGAGTCGGGGAAAAAGAATGAAGTGACTAAAGTACAATTAATCCTTTTTTTTTTTTTTCTGCCCTTCACTTTCATTTCTTAAGAAGAAGAAGGGTAAGTCAGAAAAAGCTTTACCTACTGAAAAGGTCAACTGCTTCCTCTTCTGTTGTGCTCTTCTAAGAAAGCTGGGATGGCTGCTACATTACAGCAAGCACCCCACCTCAGCACACAGACATTCCAAACAACAATCTGAAAAGGTGTCAGAATGCTAGCTGTAGGAGCTGTGGAAGTACACCCAACTGCTGGGGAAAAACAGTGCTTGCTCATCCCCAGGAGGAGATACAGTTCCGAGCCAAGGTCATGTTCAAAGTGCTTAAGATGTAAAAGAAGTCTGTAGCAGCTCCTGCTTTTGCCTTTTAAAATCGTGTTTAGCTCAGGAGTTTCTGCCCATATTTTTCTGATTAACTATCATAATGGGAAATCATAAAATTGATTTTAGCATGGATCTATCTAGCCACAATGAAAGGATATGGAGGAAAAGACAAGCTTAGCAAATTCCTGACTGAGCTAAGACTTACAGCTGCATCCAAACCATGCAGGAAAAGTAAAAGTAAGCATTTGGAAACAATTAGAGGCTCGCTTCTGGTTGACTAACTCAATTCTAGCTTTCACAACTGAATGCTATTTTCCTATCATAAATGACAAGGGATGACTCATCAGGCATGAATTTACCAGTAAAACAAAGTAATGGTTCCATTCTTCAAAAGCTGAACATAAATCTATAATCATACAATAAGCATCAAATTAATTTCAAAGCCTTATAGCAGGTTAAATGAGCAACATTTACTCTTTCCTGCAAGTAACTTTGCAATAAAAATTCAAGTTTTACTTCAGATACTGCTTTTAGGGTGAGATTTTCATCACATTTCAACAGTAAATTAGATAATCTAGCAGTAACTATGAATAATGGAAATAAGATATTGAGGTTGGTGAGATGGCTCAGCAATTAGGAACACTTGCTGCTCATGCAGAATGAGCAGAACTGAGTTTAGCTCCCAGCATTCACATCCTGCAACTCACATCTGTCTGGGATCCATGGACACTCACCTGGATGTGCACATAACACAGGCACGCTTAGATACATTTTAATAAAAATAAGTCAGTGGAGCTAGAGAGATGGCACAAAAGTTAAGAGCACTTGGTACTCTTGCCGAAGACCAGCACCAGTTCCTGCACAGCGCTTCACAACCCTGTCATGAAACTCTAGTGGACATACTGTCCTCTTCCGGCCTCCTTGGGCCCCAGGCATGCATGTGGAACATGTAGGCAAACAGTCACACACTTAAAAACAAAGAAATCTAAATCTTTCTTTAAAGGCATGCACATTATGAAAACCTGCGAAGAACGATCACAGTTGTTTGTTCTTAATCAGTTAAAAGCCTAATTAAAAACCTCAGAGTTTACGTAATTAAGTCTGAGAACAAATATCTAGCGATAATTAAAACACAATGCAGTGATTTCAGCACTTGGGAAGGTGCGGCAGGTGAATCTCTATGCATTTAAGGGAGGGGAGGGGAAGGGAGGGAAGGGCAGAGGATGGGAGGGAAGGGAGGCAGGCAGAAAAGAAAGAATTGAAAGCTCCTCAAACCCATACATATATATATATATATTTTTTTTTTTTTTCAGGGTTTCTCTGTGTAGCCCTGGCTGTCCTAGGCTCACAGGCTGGCTTCAAACTCACAGAGATCCATCTGTCTCCAACTCCCAAATGCTGGGACTAAAGGTGTATGCCACTGCTCCTGGCTACCCATATGATTCTTGAGGCAACCCCGTGAATTGGTTCATTTAGTGAATGCTTCCTCCTCATTATTGAGAGTTCTTACAATCCATAGGCATGGAGAGAAGAGAAATGAAAAATTTAAACTAATGTAAATCTGAAGGTCAAGTGTTTCTTTCCACTATCCTCTAAAAGACTAAAATAAAGAGCTCTGTGTGTACGTGTGTGCGTATGCAGTGCGCACCCTGCGCAGGGCCGGTGCTCCCAGGCCAGGAGAGAGTGCTGGAGATCCTGGAGCTGGAGCTACAGCTACGGGACCTCTGCAAGAACAGCAAGTCCTCTTAACTAGTGAGCCAGCTCCCTACCCCCATTCAAAAACTTTTAATGGGCAAAAGGAGACAAAGACATCTGATCTCTAATACTATTGGAGGTACATTTAGATACGTGGTGGCACTTAAACAAGTACAATCAGTCCACGGTCATGGATGACTACTATTAATCTTGAATTTCATAAACCTAGTAGGGAACAGATCTCTCAAACGGTCCCACCTGAGAATGTGGAGCACGTGTAACTATGCTAAGCTTCTGGAGCCTGTGGTCTAAATCAGTGCGCAATACAGTGCGTGTTGCTTACTCAGTAGGGAGGGTAATAACAGATGCTACGGAACCCCCACAATCAGGAAGAGGTTGCCCCTTTCTTTAAGCTTCTGGGACATAGTTATAACACTTCGTGTATTTGCTCTCTGGAACA